GTGTATCAGACTCCGGGTGCACTACCCGCGGATGGGGCTCAGCCAGTTGCTGCAGTGGTGCCTGAGCCCAGACCAGCTGCGGATGGTGACCCGCAGAAGTTGCTAGATAGATGGACTAGACTTCACCCTCCTGTCTTCGGGGGTGAGCGCCATGAGGATGCCTAGGACTTCATTGATAGGTGCAGGGACAGACTGCACAACATGAGGATATTGGAGTCGCATGGGGTTGACTTCACTACTTTCCAGCTGGAGGGCAGGGCCCGTAGATGGTGGCAGTCGTATGTTCTTGGCAGGCCAGTAGGTTCTCCTCCTATCACTTGGAGCGAGTTCACACAGTTATTTCTAGACAGGTATATCCCACCCTCCGAGAGGGAAGAGCTACGGTATCAGTTTGAGCAGCTTGAGCAGGGTCAGATGTCAGTGACCGACTATGAGGCAAGATTTTCTGAGTTATGCTTTGATGATACTTCCTATTGATGCGGAGAGGGTATGGAGGTTCGTTGCAGGATTGCATTTTGGCATTAGGGCCAACATGGCCCGAGAGGTGGAGATGGGAACTCCTTATCAGCTAGTGGTGAAGATTGCTCGGAGGATTGAGGGCTACCGTCTGAGAAGTAGAGAGCAGGCGCAGCAGGATAAGAGGGCCCAATTCTCCAGAGAGTTCAGAGATGCCCCGACTAGGGGTAGAGGTCAGTTTGGTAGGGGTCAGCCCAGCAGACCCCTACATCCAGCACCACCACCTGCTCAGGGTGCTCCAGCGTGCCCCTATTTCAGTGCCATACCAGAGAGTTCTTATCTCCCGCCAACTATTCAGGGTTCTTCCGGTGGACATTCAGGTCCCCAGGGTTCTTCTGATTCCTATTCTAGTGCTACGTCAGAGAGTTCATACCGTCCTCCAGCCATTTCTAGTTCCTCCAGCGGGTATTCAGGCCATCAGGGCCAGGCTTTCGGACAACAGGCCATGGTGCCAAGAGTTTGCTACAAGTGTGGAGACCCAGGTCACATGAAGAGGACCTGCCCCAGGCTTCAGGGCGAGGCAGTACAGCAGGGTCAGCAGCCTATAATTCCAGCACCGGTTGCCCATCCGCCTAGAGGAAGGGGACAGGGTGGTAGAGGCCATTCTAGAGGTGGTGGCCAGACAGGGAGAGGTCAGCCAGCTACTGCTCCGTCAGGTGGAGGCCAGCCAGCCGGCGCTCCAGCTAGATTCTATGCTCTTCCGGCCAGACCAGATGCATTGGCCTCAGATGCCATTATCACAGGTATCATTTCCGTCTGTGGCAGAGATGCTTCAGCATTATTTAATCCAGGGTCCACCTACTCATATGTATCGTCTCTGTTTGCTCGTATTCTAGTTATTGCTCTTGAGCCTTTGGGAACTCCGATTCACGTGTCCACTCCTGTGGGCGATTCTGTGGTTGTGGATCTGATCTAGCGGTCCTGTGTGGTCACATTCTGTGGTTTCGAGACTAGAGCGGACCTCCTGTTACTTGATATGATCGACTTTGAGGTCATCCTGGGCATGGATTGGTTATCCCCGTACCACGCTGTCCTAGATTGCCATGCCAAGACTGTTACATTATGCGATTCCAAGGTTGCAAGGGTTAGAGTGGAGGGGTTCCACAGTTGATACATCTAGCCGGGTTATTTCTTTTCTGAAGGCTCGACATATGGTCGAGAAGGGGTGTTTAGCGTATCTAGCTTATGTTCGGGACACCACCGCAGAGTCCCCGACGATTGATTCAGTTCCAGTAGTGCGGGAGTTCGCCGATGTGTTTCCTTCTGATCTTCCTGGCATGCCACCAGATCGCGATATGGATTTCTGTATTGACTTGGCTCCAGGTACCCAGCCTATATCTATTCCACTGTACCGTATGGCTCCGAAAGAGTTGAAGGAGTTGAAGGAGCATCTTGGAGAGTTGTTGGCAAAGGGGTTTATTAGAGCTAGTGTGTTGCCTTGGGGTGCACCAGTGTTATTTGTGAAGAAGAAGGATGGCACCATGCGGATGTGCATTGACTACCGCCAGTTGAACAAGGCTACCATCAAGAATAAGTACCCGTTGCCACGCATTGATGATTTGTTCGACCAGTTGCAGGGTGCTGGGGTGTTCTCTAAGATTGACTTGAGATCAGGGTACCATCAGTTGAGGATTCGGGACGCAGATGTTCCGAAGACTGCCTTCCGTACTAGATATCGTCATTACGAGTTCCTGGTGATGTCCTTTGGCTTGACCAATGCCCCAGCGGCTTTCATGGACTTGATGAACAGGGTATTCAGACCTTATATTGATTCCTTTGTTATCGTCTTTATTGACGACATCTTGATATACTCAAGTAGCCTGGGGGAGGACGAGCAGCATTTGAGAGTAGTGCTTCAGACTTTGCGAGAGCAGAAACTATATGCTAAGTTCTCCAAGTGTGAGTTTTGGCTAGAGTCAGTGGCATTCTTGGGGCATATTGTGTCTGGAGAGGGAATTAAGGTGGATCCCAAGAAGATTGAGGCAGTTCAGAGTTGGCCACGTCCTACCTCGGTGACCGAGATCAGGAGTTTCCTAGGTTTAGCAGGTTACTACCGACGATTCGTGCAGGGCTTTTCATCTATTGCATCACCTCTTACCAGATTGACCCAGAAGGGTGCTCCTTTTTGTTGGTCCGATGATTGTGAGGCGAGCTTTCAGAAGCTCAAGACAGCTTTGACTACGGTACTAGTTCTTGTGTTGCCTTCCGATTCAGGGATATATACGGTGTATTGTGATGCTTCACGCGTTGGTTTGGGGTGTGTATTGATGTAGGAGGGGTGAGTCATTGCATATGCTTCATGCCAGCTGAAGATTCATGAGAAGAATTATCCCGTGCATGATCTAGAGTTGGCGGTGATTGTTCATGCTCTTAAGATATGGAGGCATTATCTGTATGGAGTGTCATGTGAGGTTTACACTGATCATCGCAGCTTACAGCATTTGTTCAAGCAGAGGGGTCTCAATTTGAGGCAGTGTAGATGGCTTGAGTTGCTGAAGGATTATGACATCACCATTCTTTATCATCCAGGCAAGGCAAATGTGGTCGCGGATTCCTTAAGCAGGAAAGCAGAGAGTATGGGTAGCTTGGCATTCATTCCAGCAGAGGAGAGGCCACTAGCCGTGGACATTCAGTCCTTGGCTAACAGACTTGTGAGGTTGGATATTTCAGAGCCCAGCCGAGTCCTTGCATGTGTTGTTGCCGAGTCTTCATTATTGGGGGAGATCAAGGCCCGACAGTTCGATGATCCGCATTTGGCAGTTCTCAGAGAGACGGTGCTACAGGGTAGTGCCAAGGAGGTTTCTATTGGCGAGGATGGTGTCCTGCGACTCCAGGGTCGCCTATGTGTTCCTAATGTTGATGGCTTGAGGGAGAGGATTCTAGCGGAAGCACATAGTTCGTGGTATTCTATTCACCCGGGTGCTACGAAGATGTATAGTGACCAGAGACAACATTATTGGTGGCGACTGATGAAGAAGGACATAGTTGAGTATGTGGCTAAGTGTTTGAATTGCCAGCAGGTTAAGTATGAGCACCAGAGGCTAGGTGGCCTACTTCAGCAGATGCCCATTCCTGAGTGGAAGTGGGAACGCATCACTATGGACTTCGTAGTGGGATTGCCTCGGACCTTGCGGAAGTTTGATGCAGTGTGGGTCATTGTTGACAGGTTGACCAAGTCGGCACACTTTATTCCGATTGTGACTACTTACACTTCAGAGAGGTTGGCTCAGATTTACATTCGGGAGATAGTCCGGTTGCACGGTGTGCCTGTTTCCATCGTATCAGACAGAGGCCCTCAGTTTACTTCCCATTTCTGGAGAGCCGTTTAGAGTGAGTTGGGGACCCGCGTGGAGCTCAGTACAACATTTCACACTCAGACCGACGGATAGTTGGAGCGGACAGTTCAGATTCTGGAGGACATGCTTAGGGCATGTGTGATTGACTTTGGAGGACAGTGGGATCAGTTCTTGTCTTTAGACGAGTTTGCTTACAACTGATGACGTCCAAATCCACTACTAAAAAGTAAATGGACACGGTCGCATGCAATATAATTTACCCAACTATAAGTCGGGGTCGAATCCCACAGAGAACAATATGTAGGCTATTAGGAATGTAAGAGAATTATCACTTATCGCGCAATGCCAAACACTAAGAATTTGGTTTTTGGAAAATGTTTATAACTAAATGCAATAACATAAACTAACCTAGAAAGCAAGTAAAATGATCAATGGCTACAAGGATGGATGCATCGGGAATTACACTCAAGTAACGATCCAATGTATTTCGTGATTTTACAAATATGAGCGAGTTTATGTTAATTAGCCACGGGTAATAATTCGATATTAGCTTCTTCCGAAGACTAACAAGACTTCTTAATTGAATTATCCCTAAAACAATTAAGAGATTAAGCACTCCCGAATATGGCTACAAGTAGTTCAATCCTATCCCTAGGTAGAATCTATAAAATGAGGGTTAACGCCTCAAGTTCTTGTTAATTAATCTTTCCCAACTCCAAATTATCTTTTCCAAAATTAATTCGGAGTTAATGGGTGAATCCTAGGGTTAGGTAATCCCTTTGGAAACATTAAAGAACAAGAATAATTAAAGTAACAATAACTCACTTCTTAAAAGGATAAAAATCATTCAATACATAAGCACAACAAGGTATTTAATCCATACTTTTAACAAGAATATTTCCATAAACAAGATTCAAGTGTTGGATAAAATACTACACACTTAGATATACAATACAAAGCAAGGAAATGAAGAAATAAACATAAATGGGTAAGAAATCCTTAACCACAAGCTTCAAATCTTCAAGACCCAAGTGTGTGTGCAAAACCCTAGCTTGCACCTTGTTCTCTCTAAGTCTAAGAACTAAAAATCAGCCAAAGATGTTCAGATATTCCCAAAGATACTGCTAGGTCGAGTATTTGTGGGTTTGGGAATGAGAAAATGTGAAATGCCTAATTTGCCCGGGTCTGATGCCCGTTTACCGCACCTGCGGAAGAATCATCGCAAGTGCGGCTCCGCAGATGCGGAGATCCAATCGCAGAAGCAAATTGCTAGCTGAAACTCTGTTACCGCAGATGCGGTTCACCAGGCGCAGATGCGCCACCATAGAAGCGGTAATCCAATCGCAGATGCGGTTCCTTGCAATCTCAAACAACTTCGCAGATGCGGAACTATTCACGCAGAAGCGGGGTCGCTTCTGCGACCTTCCTTCCGCAGATGCAGAATCACTGGGGAGTTTTTTGCATGTTTTCACCCTTTTTTTTTGCTCAATTCCACTCCAAATGAATTCAAATCACTTCAGGGCATCATTTACCTGAAAATCTAACAATACACACCATAAACGACCTCATATGATAGTTAAAGGACATAAAAGCTAAGGAAAAGAGACTAGATTGAGTGGTAAAATCACCACTCATCAACACCCCCAACTTAAAGCTTTTGCTTGTCCTCAAGCAAATCAAAACCAACACTTCAATGAGGATTTACCATTTAAAACACAAGTGGTATTGCTATTATTTACAAATCACATTCTCCAATTAAGCACCATACTTATGGATTTGGTTGGTACTAATAATTAGGCTCAAGTATGTGTATCTTTCCCGAATGACTCCCTCATTTAAAAAACAACTTCAAGAATGTGCAAGGGAGTTTCAAAAATAGTCAAGTGACAAAAATAAGCCTCAAGAAGTGACTCAAAAGCACCAGTCCATTACACATGCTCAACTTACTCAATTTCACCAATCCTTCCTAATTCATGTGCCCTCACAAGAAAGAAAGTCCCAAAATCACTCTATTTACAATACAACATAAGGGACAATTTTACAAAGACACTCACTCTCACAAATAATTTCAAGTGTTACCACATCTCATACCATAAGCTTGCCCTTATTTTAATTCATCGCCTATTCAAGTATGTTCGGTTGGAGGTCCCATAAGGACTTTTTAAGCTTGTAATGTAGGTTTAGGGAAGGGTCGGATAAGCATTTGGATACAAGTGACTTCTTCCTCCCTGAACACTACTCACATTTGCCATTCTTTTTGCCCTTTGTTTCTTTTCAAACCACATAGCCTCATTAGCATCTAGTTACCAACATAGAACCACCTTAAATACCTCTTCTAATTTTCTTCAAGGCTCCATAATTTATAAACATAAAAATATTTCTCTTTTTTTTATACACATTTTTGTTTTGGAGCTTGAATATCTTGATATGAACACTTTGAGGTATATGTTCCTACACTCAATGCACAACCTTACCAATTTCCATTTTGACAGCACACCCCCAACTTAGGCTTTCAGCCTCATTCTCAATGTTCAAGGAGGGACGGGTTCAAAAGAGGAAATTATTTTACAAAAAGGGGAAAGGTTTGTACTGAGGTGGCCAAAGAAAAGGTTAAAGGCTCAAATAGGGTACTAGTTATATTATTTGTGCAATGGTAGGCTTGAAAGAATAAAGAGGTTTTGCAAATAAAACAAAGAATGCCTAAGATCATTCCTCCAACCAAACATACTATCATTAGCGTTGAAAGACCAACCGGGCAAGTTCTAGATGATAGAAGTAAACACAAGATTTATTTGTACAGACACTAACACACATGGCACATGAATTAATCAAGACGGATCAATTATTTTCTAACAAGAACGTCTAGAGCAATATTATTCAAACTAGTGGGCGAAGAGTCACTCAAAGCGCCAAAAATTTATCACAAAAATTATTCTTCACCATGCAACTTACTTGTTTTAGTTCAAAACCAAAATTCGGTGGGGTATTCTTAATTCACATTTCACATACAAGAGACTAATTTTATTAGTACCAAATAATCCAAAAGTCTCCTCCTAGCAAAACAAGACTAATTTCCTTAAGAAAGTTGTCAAGCCATCTATCATAGGGAAAAGTCATCCAGTTCAATTCACAAATGTTCCTTGGGAATGAACCGTAGCATGAAGAAAGCCCAAGGAAATACTACTTAAGGAAAAGAATGAAAGAACAAAACTACTAAAAAAAAAATACTAAAATAAAAGCGGCTAATACAAACAATACAAACTACTAAAGAAAATAAATAACGAAAGAAAGCTAAACATAGACTAATCACACCAAGCTCAGCAAGAGCACCTGCTACACAAAATAGTCCGGCAAGGGCACACAATATCCACAACAGCAACATAAGCCCGGCAAGGGCACACAGTATCCATAGCAACAAAATAAGCCCGGCAAGGGCACACAATATCATAACATGAATACAGTATACTCCTACAGCCACCCCCAACTAAAAACATTGCAGTGTCCTCACTGCACAATATCAAATATAAAGCACAAATAGTTTGGGGGTCTCCCTGAGGTCTGCATGAGACTAGCAGACTGTGGGAGGACGGCTGATCACTACTAGGCTAAACTCGTGATCTCATCATCGTCGGTCTCATCATCATCGTCACCATCACCATCACCAGCCCCNTTTTATTGGCCCCAAATTTACATGGTGCAACAACTGGAGACCAAGGAAAAGAATTTGGAAAAGACTTGATAGAATATTCATTAATGACCTGTGGGCCCAATTGTTTCAAGTGTGCAGCGTTAAACATCTTAACAGATCTGGGTCTAACCATAGACCCCTCCTGTTCAAATGCCACAACAATTTATCTCATAATATCAAGTACTTCAGGTTCTTAAACTTCTGGACTAAACAAGCAGGATTTTATGAACTTGTTAGCGATATCTGGAACACCCATATTCAAGGAAACCCTATGTGGAAACTTCAGCAAAAGCTTAAACTTTTGAGCAGGAAACTTACTCAATGGTCCAGGGATGACATTGGGAATATTTACGACCATTTTAACAAATGGGAAGCAGAGGTGAAGTTGTTAGAAGAAATTGACCAGGAACAAAATACTGAACAGAGCAGAGAAAACTTAAACAAATGTCAGGCCGAGTATATAAGATGGCATTCTATGCAAGAGTCACTCCTGAAACAAAAATCTCAGATACAATAGTTTGAAGAAGGAGACTGCAACACAAAGTATTTTCATAGCGTTATCACAGAAAGGAGGAGGAAGCTTAAAATACACAGAATCAAAAACCACAAAGGAAATTGGGTTATAAGTGAGGAGAAAATTACGAGGGCTGCTATCAAGCACTATAAGAAGTTTTTCAATCTCACTAGAAAGGAATTGAACCTGAATATTATTGATTGCATTCCTAGGTGTATCACTGATGAGGAGAATGACATCCTTGACTCTGTTCCAATGGAAGAAGAGATTAAAGAGGCTATTTTCAGTATCAGCGGGGATAGTGCTGATGGTCCTGATGGTTATAACGGGACCTATTATCATAGATGTTGGAACATCATTAAATATGACATCATTCAATTTGTCCAGGCCATCTTTAATGGTAAACATCTGACTAAGTTCTTCTCTCATACGTGCCTTGTGTTGATCCCAAAAGTGGAAGCTCCTGAGACTTTCTCTGAGTTAAGGCCTTTTAGCCTCAGCAATGTCTCAAACAAGATCATCACTAAGATCCTGTCAAAAAGGATTAACTCACTCCTTCCCAATTTAATCTCTAACAATCAGAGTGGTTTCATCAAAGATAGATTGATCACAGAAGATGTCACTCTTGCTCAGGAGATTGTTCAAGGTATAAAGGGCCCCAACAAAGGAGGTAATGTTGTGCCTAAACTAGACATGGAAAAGGCATATGATAGAATGTCTTGGGACTTCATTACTTTCGGTTTCTCACAATAATGGATTAATATCACGAAGAATCTTCTTTCCAATGTTTGGTATTCTATTATTCTTAATGGCACCAGGCATGGTTTCTTTACATCTTCACAGGGGCTGAAGCAAGGAGATCCCCTCTCACCTTCCTTGTTCATTCTGGGTTCTGAAGTTCTCACCAGATCTCTTAACAAGCTTCATGGAGATGATAATTTCACTCCTTTTAACATGCCAACAAGAGGTCCTCAAATTAATCATCTCGCTTATGCGTATGATATTGTCATCTTCACGGCAGGCAACAATAAATCCATCAAGCTCATCATGAATAATATCAAGAACTATGGTAAGGCATCCGAGCAAAAACTCAACGTCGATAAGTGCTTCTTCGTTACAGCTCCTAATACTAAAGCTGGAAGGATAAATAGAATCAGGAGAACCACTGGCTTCATGGACAAACAATTTCCTTTCAAGTATCTAGGATACCCTATCTATACAGGAAGGAAGAAAATTTGCTACTTTGAGGAGATGGTTGCAAAGATTGTTAAGAAAATAAGCGGATGGCAAGGAAAGATGCTATCGTATGGAGGGAAAGTGGTTATTATTAAAAATGTTCTACAATATCTCCCTCTATACACCCTTTCTACATTGTCCCCTCTACGCTTAATCTCATTGAGAAACACTTTGCTAGATTCCTCTGGGGTTCCCATGGTGATAAGAACAAATTTCACTAGAGCTCATGGAAGAAACTACGCTTTCCAAAAGAAGAGGGGGGAATAGGCATTAGAAGGATGGAGGAGATAAATGACATTTGCTCAATCAAAAGGTGGTGGAGGTTCATAGCATGCCCCTCTTTGTGGGCTGAATTTCTAAAAGCCAAATACTCTATTAGAGCACACCCAGTCTCTAAAGCTATTACATCTGGGAGCTCACACTCTTGGAGAGGTATTCTTCAAATTAGAGACAGAGCTGAAAAGAATATATACTGGAATATTAATACAGGGGAATGTAGCTTCTGATGGGGTGATTGGACAGGTAAAGGACCACTCGCTAAAATAGTCAATCATTCTAGAACTTCTGGGAAAATTTTAGTTGCAGAATTCTTCAGAGGTAAGAGTTGGGATTTTAATAAATTGGAAAGAGTCCTTCCGATTGAAATTGCTCAACATATCAGTGGTATCCCAAGAAGAAGACAGGATCAAAAGGACTATGCTACTTGGAGACTCACCGAGGATGGTCATTACTCTAATACCACTGCTTGGCACATGGTTCGAACCACTAAACAGAGAAATCCTTTTCTTGTAAAGTTTGGCACAACAGTATCCCATTCAAAATTTCCTTTCTCATTTGAGAATGATTCAGAGAAAGCTGCCTTTTGATGACACCATCATGAGGTTTGGCAATCAACCAGTTTCAAAATGCAATTGTTGTAGTATCCCCCAATGCAAAAATATACAGCATGTTTTCTTTGATAGTGAAGCTGTTATTAGCTTATGGAAGTTCTTTGGAAATCCTCTGGGAATCCAACATATCTCTGGTTCCATTAGGGGTGTCCTCACCCAATGGTGGCAGAGGAAACCAAAGAATTTAGTACATAAGATGATTTTACATATTATGCCAATCTTTGTTTGCTGGGAAATCTGGAGAAGCTATACATCGTGCAAATTTGGGGATAGTAAAAAGTTCAATCAATACAAGATGAAATCCCAAATTCTCTGGAACATCAATGCTACTATGAATAGGAAGTTTCCCTCTATTCTCACTCGTAATAATTGGTATAGGAACTGTGAGTTATTCGAGAGACTCAAACCTATTCCAATTTGGAGATGTGTATTATGGGAAAAGCCCCAGCAAGGAAAACTGAAGCTTAACACTGATGGGAGTTTCAACAAACAAAGCAGCAAAGCAGGGATAGGAGGAGTTCTCAGGAACGATAATGGAGAATTTATCATGGCTTTCTCAATCCCTATCATCTGTGGTAGTAGCAATGTCGCGGAGTTGAGGGCGATTAAATTTGGGTGCGAGTGGTGTGTCAACAATAGAATCAACAGCTTCATGGTGGAAATTGATTCTTTGGTGATTCACAACATGCTTCAAAACAGAACTTTGCACAACTACACTCTAAGGAAGGAGATCGAAGATACTGTTGAGATCTTAGAACGTGCTAATGCTTCTATCAGTCACTGTTATCGTGAGGCAAATCAGGTTGCAGACTGTTTTGCAAAGAATGCCACTGCTTCAGCAGAAGGGATCATCCACACGAATTTCCAGCAAATTCCCAAAGAAGCCAAAGGTCCTTTCTTTATGGATAAATGGCAAGTACCATCATTTAGAATTAGATATTAAAAGTCCAACTTTTATGTTAGCTAAGTTGTATATAATAGAAAGAAGGGGTCTACTAATTGTATTTTTGCCCATACACCCTTCTTTGCAGTGTAAGAATGACACCATTGATGACGTCCAAATTCACTACTAAAAAGTAAATGGATACGGTCGCATGCAATATAATTTACCCAACTATGAGTCGGGGTCGAATCCCACAGAGAACAATATGTAGGCGATTAGGAATGTAAGAGAATTATCACTTATCGTGCAATGCCAAACACTAAGAATTGATTTGAGAAAATATTTATAACTAAATGCGAAAATGTAAACTAACCTAGAAAGCAAGTAAAATGATCAATGGGTACAAGTATGGTTGCATCAGGAATTACACTCAAGTAACGATCCAATGTATTTCATGATTTTACAAATATGAGCGAGTTTATGTTAATTAGCCACGGGTAATAATTCTATATTAGCTTCTTTCAAAGACTAACAAGACTTCCTAATTGAATTATTCCTAAAACAATTAAGAGATTAAGCACTCCCGAATATGGCTACAAGTAGTTCAATCCTATCCCTAGGTAGAATCTATAAAATGAGGGTTAACGCCTCAAGTTCTTGTTAATTAATCTTTCCCAACCCCAAATTATCTTTTCCAAAATTGATTCGGAGTTAATGGGCGAGTCCTAGGGTTAGCTAATCCCTTTGCAAACATTAAAGAACAAGAATAATTAAAGAAACAATAACTCACTTCATAAATAAATGAAAATCATTCAATACATAAGCACAACAAGGTATTTAATCCACACTTTAAATATGAATATTTCCATAAACAAGATTCAAGTGTTGGATAAAATACTACACACTTAGATATACAATACAAAGCAAGGAAATGAAGAAATAAACATAAATGGGTAAGAAATCCTTAACCACAAGCTTCAAATCTTCAAGACCCAAGTGTGTGTGCAAAACCCTAGCTTCCACCTTGTTCTCTCTAAGTCTAAGAACTCAAAAATATGATAAAGATGTTCAGATATTGCAAAAGATACTGCCAGGTCCAGTATTTGTGGGTTTGGGAATGAGAAAATGTAAAATGCCTAATTTGCCCAGATCTGATGCCCGTTTACCGCACCTGCTGAAGAATCATCGCAGGTGCGGCTCCGCAGATGCGGAGATCCCACCGCAGAAGCGATTTGCCAGCTGAAACTCTGTTACCGCAGATGCGGTTCACCAGGCGCAGATGCGCTACCGCAGAAGCGGTAATCCAACCGCAGATGCGATTTCTTGCAATCTCAAACAACTTCGCAGATGCTGAACTTTTCACGCAGAAGCGGGGTCGCTTCTGTGACCTTCCTTCCGCAGATGCGGAATCACTGGGGAGTTGTTTTCACCCTTTTTTGCTCAATTCCACTCCAATTGAATTCAAATCACTTCAGGGCATCATTTACCTGAAAATCTAACAATACACACCATAAACGACCTCATATGATAGTTAAAGGACATAAAAGCTAAGGAAAAGAGACTAGATTGAGTGGTAAAATCACCACTCATCAACACCCCCAACTTAAAGCTTTTGCTTGTCCTCAAGCAAATCAAAACCAACACTTCAATAAGGATTTACCATTTAAAACACAAGTGGTATTGCTATTATTTACAAATCACATTCTCCAATTAAGCACCATACTTATGGATTTGGTTGGTACTAATAATTAGGCTCAAGTATGTGTATCTTTCCCGAATGACTCCCTCATTTAAAAGCAACTTCAAGAATGAGCAAGGGAGTTTCAAAATAATCAAGTGACAAGAATAAGCCTCAAGAAGTGACTCAAAAGCACTAGTTCACTACATATGCTCAGCTTACTCAATTTCACCAATCCTTCCTAATTCATGTGCCCTCACAAGAAAGAATGTCCCAAAATCACTATATTTACAATACAACATAAGGGACAAATTTACAAAAACACTCACTCTCACAAAGAATTTCAAGTGTTACAACATCTCATACCATAAGCTTGCCCTTATTTTAATTCATCGCCTATTCAAGAATGTTCGGTTGGAGGTCCCATAAGGACTTTTTAAGCTTGTAATGTAGGTTTAGGGAAGGGTCGGATAAGCATTTGGATACAAGTGACTTCATCCTCCTTGAACACTACTCACATTTGTCATTCTTTTTGCACTTTGTTTCTTCTCAAACCACATAGCCTCATTGGCATCTAGTTCCCAAAATAGAACCACCTTAAATACCTCTCTAATTTTCTTTAAGGTTCCATAATTTATAAATATACATTTTTTTATACAAATTTTTCTTTTGGAGCTTGAATAATTCAATATGAACACTTTGAGGTATATGTTCCTACACTCAATGTACAACCTTACCACTTTCCACTTTGACCCCACACCCCCAACTTAGGCTTTTAGCCTCATTCTCAATGTTCAAGGAGGGACGAGTTCAAAAGAGGGAATTATTTTACAAAAAGGGGAAAGGTTTGTAATGAGGTGGCCAAAGAAAAGGTTAAAGGCTCAAATAGGGTACTAGTGATATTATTTGTGCAATGGTAGGCTTGAAAGGCTAAAGAGGTTTTGCAAATAAAACAAAGAATGCCTAAGATCATTCCTCCAACCAAACATACTATCATTAGCGTTGAAAGACCAACCGGGCAAGTTCTAGATGATAGAAGTAAACACAAGATTTATTTGTACAAACACTAACACACATGGCACATGAATTAATCAAGACGGATCAATCATTTTCTAACAAGAACGTCTAGAGCAATATTATTCAAACTAGTCGGTAAAGAGTCACTCAAAGAGCCAAAAATTTATCACAAAAATTATTCTTCACCATGCAACTTACTTGTTTTAGTTCAAAACCAAAATTCGGAGGAGTATTCTTGATTCACATTTTACATACAAGAGACTAATTTTATTAGTACCAAATAATCCAAAAGTCTCCTCCTAGCAAAACAAGACTAATTCCCTTAAGAAAGTTGTCAAGCCATCTATCATAGGGAAAAGTCACCCGGTTCAATTCAAAAATGTTCCTTGGGAAAGAACCGTAGCATGAAGAAAACCCAAGGAAATACTACCTTAAGGAAAAGAATGAAAGAACAAAACTACTAAAAAATAATACTAAAATAAAAGCGGCTAATACAAATAATACAAACTACTAAAGAAAATAAATAACGAAAGAAAGCTAAACATAGACTAATCACACCAAGCTCAGCAAGAGCACCTGCTACACAAAATAGCCCGGCAAGGGCACACAATATCCACAACAGCAACATAAGCCCGGCAAGGGCACACAGTATCCATAGCAACAAAATAAGCCCGGCAAGGGCACACAATATCATAACATGAATACAGTATACTCCTACAGCCACCCCCAACTAAAAACATTGCAGTGTCCTCACTGCACAATATCAAATATAAAGCACAAATAGTTTGAGGGTCTCCCT